TCTATATTTAAATATCATATTATCTGTTATGATGTTAGATGATAATATCATGCACTAGTTATTATATCTACTTAATACTGAAAACACTGAGTTCCAACTATAAGTATTCTATTGCATCGAAATCTGTTTTAACCGTTGCTTCTGGACTCCTAATACTTCAGTTTATCGACGCTGCATTTCCGATGCAAAAAAAACGGAAATTAACGAAATATTGTACAAGATAAAATGGATAAAGTCGTAGCTTTGTACCCGAAAAAAAAAAAACAAAATATGTATCAAAATTACATTTATTAATAGATATTATAATACTTAAACCCACTAGCTTGATAATACAGGAAGAAATCTGCCAATTTGCAGGGAGGGCCATATGGTATACTATGCCATACATGGTACGAATACTATTATGTGAGATAATTATGTCACAAGTACTTGAACCTAACAAGTTGAGATTGTAACGCCTTCAAGCCTGAAAGTATCTGGTACAAGCTGAAAATCTCGACAAGCACCGGTTTGTTTACAGTGTCCACGTGATGTTCATCTGCTTGATTGTTTGCTTTGTACAAACTACAGCGTCTGAGGGGAAACCAATTTTCCTCGAGCCCAATCTCTCTTTATTTACTCAACTCTCCGTTACACTCGTTATTTGATCTGATATTGTGTTTGTGTTCGATAATTTGTTAAGTTTTCGAGGGAACCATTTACGCAATTAATTAAATCTGAAGGCAAATTATTTGATATTCGGTACTAAAAAAGGAAAAAGAATTATTATACAATTTTAATATTATGTCCATACACGAGTGTTGTTCAAAATATATTAAATGGATTATTTTTTATTTATATCTCTATCGGAAAGTTTGTGGTCTGTTATTTTATGAAATTACATACGACAGTTGAAACGAAGCTTGTGCGGAGTATTGGTTGAAATCGTCACGTAAGGAAAAAGCGTTACGCCCTCACTATTTAAGTCAAGGCAACTTTCTACGCTCCAGCTGACTGATGTCAGGTGGGGGAAAACTTTTATTAATATTATAAGTAATTGCAATTTTATTACCATCCTCTAACACTATTAATTTATTTCATCGTAATTGTTATTAAATATACACTAAGAAGCGAAAGGAATCGTTCCAGCTCGGTTACTCATGACACTTTTCGCTATGTTTAATTATGTGAGAAGATTTATTATCTAGTATAGGCTTTCTTTTTAAACGAGAGGCGTGTAATTACAGTTTTAGTAAGCAGTATCGCATATATGTAAGATTAGAGCAATGATTTTTTGGATATAGTGTGTGATATGTGTTCAGTAAAATTTTAGCAGGCTACTACTTCGATATATAATAATAATAATAGATTTATAATTATGGGGTATGTCCATAAAATTAATGAGCACAATAATTGTTTTCTTGATTTTACGCGAATATTATACATATTAAATGAAACTACTTTACGGATTTTATCGCGTTTTTTTATTTTAATTTAAATTCCCGACGTTTCGAACCCTTTCCAGCGTTCATGGTCACGGGACAGACTAAGTTGTTAGACGTCTTGATGTCATAGTTAACCCCGGCTACCGTCAATTATTTTGTTTATTTTTATTCCGATCCACGCAGAAGGAGCTTATGGTATCTCGAGGTCTGGCAGTGTTGGTGTGCTTGGATTTAATTTTATAAATTATGGGATCCCAAGCAGATGATAAACTCCAACCATCTTCTCTATTGAAATTAGGATGTTTCTTTATTTCAATAGCCTCACGGATCATCCTTGGAAGGAATCGGTGTTATTTTGCGAGGATTTTCAGTTGATCAAATCTAATGTAGTGGTTGGGGCGGTCTAAAATATGATCACAAACTGCAGACTTCTTCAACCGTCGGTGCTTCACGTCAGCTATTTGTTCTTTAATTCTGGTTTTAATTGATCGTTTTGTTTGTCCTATGTAAGAGAGCCCACAATCGCAGTCAAGCTTGTACACTCCTGGATCTTGTAGAGGGATATTACACTTGACAGATGGTAAAAATTGACTTATCTTCTTCGGTGGCTTGAAATAGGTTTTAATTGAAGCACGCTTCAAGATATAGCCAATCTTGTCAGTGACTCCTCTGACATATGGCAATACAGCAGGCACTCGCTCGACTGTGGCCGGTTTCACTCGGTCACTGTGACGCAGGCGCGGGATTTGGAGCTTGTTGTCACGCAGCACTTGCTTGACATTGTGTAGCTCAGCGGCCAGGTGTTCCTTGTCACAGATCCCTCGTGCTCTCTGTAACAAACATTTACCAACAGTAGCTAACTGTGAAGGGTGGTGGTGAGAATCACCATTTAAATATTTATTTGTATGGGTCTCCTTTCTATACACAGTATGGCTCAAGGTGTTGTCAAGATTTCGGATGACTAATACATCTAGAAAGGCTAAGGAGTTACATGTCTCTAATTCCATAGTGTATGTAATTTTAGTGTGTAAGGAATTGAGGTGGTTTAGAAATGCATTTACTTTGTCTGGTGGTAAAATTGTGAAAGTATCATCTACATACCGCTTGTAAAATCTAGGTTGAACGGGTGCTGTTTGAAGGGCCTTCTCCTCAAAGTCTTCCATAAATATGTCTGCGACAATGGGAGATACTGGGCAGCCCATTGCTACACCATCCAACTGTATGTAGAATTCTTCCTTCCACAATAGATAGCCAGATGTGAGGCAATGTTTGAGCAGTAATGCATATTCTATAGGCATGTTGTTCTCCTTAAGCTTTGTAGTAACTATTGAAATACAATCTTCTATAGGTAAGCATGTAAATAAAGACTGTATGTCAAAGCTAACCATAGTCTCATTGTCAGCAAGATGTAGGTGGTTAATCTCACTGACAAAATGGTATGAATCTTTAGTGTACGCCTTTGTATTTCCTCTGAGTGGTGAGAGGATCTTAACAAGATGTTGGGCCAGTCTATAAGTTGGTGAGTCGATCTGGCTGACAATTGGGCGTAATGGAGCATTGGTTTTGTGAATTTTAGGTAACCCATACAATTTTGGGGGTTTTGCACAAGAAGGTATTATCGAATTGACGTCCAGACTCAATTTTTCGGAGTGTTTCTTTATGAGTTCGCTAGTTAATTTAAGTGTTTTTGTTGTGGGGTCTGTTTTGACCTTTTTATATGTACTTTCATCCGACAAAAGTTCTTTAATTTTTTAATTTTTAAATTGTAGTCTGACGTATCCATAACAACCGTAGCGTTACCTTTGTCCGCGCGGAGGATCGTTAAATCTGTATTGTTGCGTAGGTTATTTAACGCGTTTAGTTCACGTTTAGGGAGATTTGGTTTCGGCACTGAACTGCGACGCAACGTAGACGATATGTCTTGGCGTATGGCCTCATGCGCAAACTTTGCCCCATGAACGACCTGTTTACTTTTTGTAGACGAAAACATGGCGTAGTTAGTTTGTCCTTATTTCTAGTATTTAGTTTATGTCTGTCACTATTCTTTAGATAATTATTAATATTATAATTAACATACAAAATATTACAATAAATATATTGAGACGCAACAGTGAGTATATTAATCTCTTTAAAAAAGTCTCTAAGTGTATTCCGGGCTCCGATGTTATAGATTCCTCGGACAGCTCTTTTTTGAAGAATAAATATAGAGTTTATATCAGATGCACTACCCCACAACAAAATGCCGTAAGACAAGATGCTGTGGAAATAACTGAAATAAACAAGTCTGGCAGTGTCGACGTCTAATAGCTGCCTAACCTTCCTAATTGCAAAAACAACGGAGATTAACCTGTTCGCAAGAGATGATAGATGGGGACTCCATTGGAGCTTTGAATCCACTGTAATTCCCAAGAATACAGCGGACTCAACAGGATTAAGGGTTACGCTATTTAATGTTAAGCTAAAACTCATAATTCGACACGCTTCGGTCAACCTTAAAAATGAGCGATGTGTCGTCAGCAAACAGTACAACATCACATAACTCACTGGCATAAAAGGGGAGATCATTTATATAAACTAAGAATAATAATGGACCCAAGATTGATCCTTGTGGGACACCCATTTTCATGGGGGACCCTGCGGAATTAACATCATTTATAGATACTTTTTGAATTCTATTACTAAGGTAAGAGGCAATGGGATTGAGGGCGATGTCACGAATGCCATAATAATCTAGCTTTTGAAGGAGGGTTTCGTGGTCTACACAGTCGAAAGCCTTTGAAAGGTCGCAAAAGACACCTATTGCATCTTGAGACCTTTCCCAGGCGTTGTAAATATGTTTGACAAGTGCGACACCCGCATCTGTTGTCGATCTGCCTTTAATGAATCCATATTGCTCATTGTGAAAAATTTTGTTCATATTAAAATGTACTAAGAGTTGATTTAAAATTAGTTTTTCAAATATTTTACTCAGAGATGGCAATATGGAGATAGGTCTGTAATTTCCAGGATCATTTTTATCCCCACTTTTGAAAACGGGGATTATCTTACTGAATTTCATAAGATCTCGAAATATTCCAGAATCTATACATTTGTTCAAAATATATGCCAAATATGGTGCAATATACGGCATTATTGTGCTCATTAATTTTATGGACATGCCCCACAGATCTCCTGTATTTTTAAGATTAATAGAATTCAAAACTTTTACAATATCATAAGTATCTATGTGGTTAAATTTAAACGTTTGTCGACAATAAGTAACATTATTTTTTAATACATTAATTGCATCAATAGGAGAGGATTTTAACGTGCATGTAAAGCAATATTATTTCATTATTAAATTTGACTCTTCCATGCGCTTCACCAGAACTCTCGCTATGTCGCTTCTGAGTGTCGCTTTACCCACTTCGACTTGGACCTTCGCTGACACCGCATCTTTATGTTCACTCTAGAGCTAGGGACCACAAGACACGAGTCGGGGTGCTCTGTGTCGGATCTTTGTGATTTTTTTTATTTGCTGTACCGAAGTAGTAATCTGCTAAAATTTTACGTATTTAACAGCATAATTACTTGCAGCTGCAGATAGAGGCCGGCGCTGGGGGCCCAGGTCCGCCGAACAACAATGCCGAAGGAGCGGTCGCCAGTCCCCCGCGCGACGACAACCACAATGCCTCGCAACCCACGCCGAGAGTACCGATCACGCCATCAGGTAATACCGCTAGGATGGGGAGGGCCTGAGAAACCCATAGCTGCGGAAGATTGAGTCTTCATGTTCCTTTGTCTTCGCCCGATGCGACAGAGACAGGTGCAGCGTGGGGTTTTTTGTCGTATCCATTCTGTTCTGACCGGGATCCGCACATAGCCCTGCCACTTCCCCTATTGCGTGATTATGTGTTAGTGCAATGCCCAGTGACACAGGGAATGTGTGTGTTTGGGAATTTCCCAGTGACACAGGCGGTTTCCTATAAAAATCAATATCAGGATAATCTATGAAAGTGGCTCCACGGTGGATGGCTGGATTTATCTCTCATGCCTGTGAGATATTTTGATGAGCCCACCTGCATTAACCATGGAGTAGGAACTTTAGGCCGATTATCCGGATATTAAGTCGCTCCCGCGTTTCAATCACTTTTAATAAAGTTTCACTTCGCTTTAAAGACGTAGATTAACCTTTTTAAATGTGGGTGCAATTTTGTGTATTGCAAATTAAACCCTATAATCCCTCGTATTCTAAAATTACTAAATAGACGTGACGGTAAAAAGACTATGTTTGTTAACTGCGATATAAATCAGTAAACTTAATCATACATTGACTAAACTTAATAATTCAAATGTCAAATTAATATTATTACATGGTTTTATAAGAAATGTCCTACACTCTGTTACAGAATCGCAGGAAAACGGAGGCTTATTATTAAGATTCAACCATTCATCATTATTAACATGGCTACATTTCTAAAGTCCGCCAATCCGCAGTGGGGCCGCGTGGTGGAACTATGTCCTGATACCCTCTGTAGAAACCTTTGACCTGTTGCCTTTGCCAAGCAGTGGGACATGTATAGGATGATACTTTTATATTTCTTACTTACGAAATCATTTGCCAACTAACGTTTTGACATCGGAGAGCAACGAGGCACTTAGATAGACACCTATTTCCAGTATTGGTTAGAAGGACACCTTTGCAGATAATTTGCCTCCAACACTTCACACGGCATGAGCCAAAAATAAACGGTGTGTTTCAGTCAAATAAATTTTGGATATATTGCTTCCATTCAATTTCGGATAGCGTGCTCTTAATCGAATGCAGCATAGAAGTTTTCAACTGCATCACCGGAGCGCGGCGGCGCTTTACTTTGAAAGCAATTAATCAAGTCGGGCCCCGTTGCTCCTGTGGAAGTTTCGCATTTCATGTTTAACGACCGCGGTAATTCCTGTCAGTTATAATAGGTTTCTTTTCAGTATAGCGTCACAGGCGTTTCTTATTACAGTGTTCGGTTTGTGAGAGTTATCTCATTTTATCGGAAGAATAGTTGAGAAAGGTTGAAAGGTTAATGCAAACAACGGATTTGTACAATTTTCTTTTTTTTAAAAAGTAATATTCCCCCTAAACACGTCGACTAAGCATAAGTGTAGTCTGGTACAATGCATGATCACAACAGAGTACAAAATTGTTTTGCTCTATTTTGTAAACGTTCTAAATACTGTCATGTTTTTTTAAATACTTCAAATTTGCGGTTTAACATATTTTAATTTATTTAAAGTAAAGTGTATATTTAATGTTAGCATAGGAATAAATATAATTTAACTGTTTTTGAGTACGGATTGAGATCGATATAATTTCACTTTCATAAGTTACCTGTTTAGTTGGAAAATATTCTAATACACCATGTGTAGTGAGCTACTGATATACGAGTAACAGAGTGATATGTATCAATGTATTTAGCTCATTTCTACACCGTACTTTAATATTTATAATACATACATGATAGCGTTTACTGAAGCGCTTTGTACTTCCGCTTCCGCTGTTGAATAATGGTTAGTTTTAATGTAATGTTAAGTTTTAAACATGAAAATTGGTAAAGTAGAAAGGCACCGTAAAAGAGGCGACCTTCCAGAAACTTAATCACAATTAAGAGAAAACGTCCCTTAACATTATCAGTTATTATCAATGATTATACATCAGGTATTTGTCATTTTTTTTTACATAGTATAAATCAAAGTCGTCTCGCTGGCTCTCTGTCCATATGTATGCTTAGATCATTAAAACTACGCGACGGATCTTGATGTGGTATTTTTTACTAGATAAAGTAATTCAAGAGGAAGGTTTATATGTATAATATTTGCACCCGCGCGAAGCCGGGGCGGGTCGCTAGTGCAATATAAAAGCATTACACTTACTTTTTAATTGTCAAAAACATATTTCTTGGTGATTATGTGGTGCCCAGATTATAAACTGCTCTAATACCTCTCTTTTGGAGAATAAAGATTACATTTATGTCAGTCGCAATACTCCAAGTAGAATTCCACGAGACGTTATAACTGTGGCAATAACTAAAATATACCTAACGAGCTTATATAGCGGACATAATGATATTTCCGTAGACACCGGGCTACAGAACGTAGTATTCGCTATTTCGTTGTTAGTTCGCGGTCGATGGGGATTTGTCCTGGTAATTTCGGAATGATCACAACTGTCCGGGTACTGACAATCCGTAGATACCCGAAATACAATTAAGAAACATATAAATGAGTAATTAACGCCTAAGCTATCAGTAAATCCATACTAATATTATAAATGCGAAAGTAACTCTGTCTGTCTGTCTCGCTTTCACGCCAATACTACTGAACCGATTTAATTGAAATTTGGTACACAGATAGTCTAGATAAAGGAAATAGGCTATTTTTTATTTATTGATTTTTTTTAAGAAAGATGTTTGTTTAAGGGCTTCAACGCGAGCAAAGCTGCGGGCGAAAAACTAGTTTGATATCGATTTAACATTTTAGTTTGGAAATCACACAACTTCTCATTGTTTTATCGGTGTATCAATAAGCTTATTAAAACCGTAATCATAACAAGTCGAAACGTGTTTGTTTCATGTATGTTCACGAAGCACGTATATAGCATTATTTTTATTTCATGTTCAGTATTATATCATAGCGTTTATTATTCAACATTCAAATGAGGTAAAAAGCTAAACAAAAACCTTTTACAGTAAAGAAAGTTTATGACTGTCATGCTTTAGAATCATGGCTTTTATTCGGTAGGTTCCTTAGAAATGCAGAGTATGTATACATTAACATATTTATGAATTGGAAATATATGGATAGGGGGGCAATTGTGCATAATTATATATGGAATGAGACACACTTTAATAGGTGAATAAGGTTAACGGTGTGCCGATTTGGTCGTACGTGACGATTTTACGTGAATTACGATTTGTAAATTAACATTTGAAACCGAAACACATTGGAGAGAACTGTAACAATGTGATGCTTTCTTTCGGTATTCTCTTTTTATATCTATAGAATAAAGAAAAATATCCAACCTGTATTCTTCTATAAAATATGAAGCTGGCATGGTAGCCTATTTTTACTTATATTAATACCCAACTAAACTTACTGGCCGCTTCTATGTAAAATAAGCTCTACTCATTCCTGTGAGTTTCAAGTCACGCTTGACATGCAGACGGCTGTACAGTCTCACGGCCGGTACCCTTGCATAAAATACAGCAGTATTAAAAACGGCTAACGGGTATAACGTTTACCCTAAAATCTGAACTGACGAAAATTTGGATAAGCAAATGAAAATAGGCATAATAAGCCTTTTCAGAGCTTCTGCGATTAGATGAGTAGTTTTGCTACGTGGGATAATATGTTGTGGCAAGTCGGTAATTAAAAAAACCGGCAAAGTCGGAATCCCGCTAGGAGAGTTCCGTACAATTATCTATAAAAACGGGAAAAAATAATAGAATGGGGACTCCCATACAAAAAAATCATTACGTGGGGCTCCGTATAATGTTTTTTTGTATTTGTTGTTATAGCTGCAACAGAAATACATTATCTGTGAAAATTTCAACTGTCTTACTATCACGGTTCATAAGATACAGCCTGGTGACATACCGACAGACAGATAGCGGAGTCTTAGTAATAGGGTCCCGTTTTACCCTTTGGGTACGGAACCCTAAAAATGCAAAGCAGAAAAAAATTCTTCTGGCAAAATGCATGTATTAATACTTCTTTTCAAAGCTTTTTTTGTTGGATCGTTCACTGTTGATTTTTAGATGGCCTTTATAGATCCACTGGGCTTAAGGTGGTCGGCCGCTTAATACACCTAGCCTCAACCTCGTTTATGAGAGACTAAGCTCTAGGGCTCCGGTTTGGACCTTCACTCTATTGCTAGAACCACTCTATTAAATCATCTTGAAGTCTGTCTCTTTCTCATTTTATATATCCCAAGGCCTGAACTCCAGAACTACACGGGGTTGGCAAATAGCGACGCCTTTAGATCCAGGTTATCCGTACAAACTCACTGCGCCTCCCATTTGTGTTTAAAATTGAAATTGAAATTAACTAGGAGAAAACGAGTTCATTATTCAGTGTTTATCTTTAGCACGGAAGCCTGGCACTTTATAATGCTTTTTAAATGAAAAAAAAAAAAAAAAACAACTTCAATATATAACGTTCATCCTTAGTTCATTTCAATCAAAACAACCTCTTATTCGCCTATGAGAGGGTCCTTCCTAGAACCGGACACGCGTGACTCGCCCTTGGCCCAGACGGATCGTGTGATGCAACGCATAGGTCCTTGCAAGTCTTCAGGCGTAAAGGCTGCACTGCAGATTTGTCAAACTATCTAACAAGTGTCGATTATACTTTTCTGTCGAAGTACGTATCTGAAGATGCTTTAGGAATAATTCTCGTCGCACAGGAACTGGGTACATAAAACTAGACCTTGAAATAAGATCATTCTATATTAATTGAATAAATAAACATTAGATTTTGAACGATGAATTGCTGTTTTCGTTAATCGGCAGAGCATGAAATATGCAGGAAAGCAGGTAACACTTTTATATGTACTTTTTGTCTACTACTATTGAGAGCCATTACCACCACCCTTCATTTACCACCACCACCACCCTTACTGTCCACCCTTATTTTATTTCACGATATTTAAACATGATTTTTTTATTAATCAAAACAAGTAATTCT